ATACTGTCATCCTTATTATTTTTAGTACTAACAAAAGGCAACAACTTAACAATTTTATGAGAATGATGCCCTAACCTTTGATGCCAAATATCACACGTCTTGCTCTCTGTAGTCTTCATTGCTCTTGCTGATGCAATGCTCCGGAAATAATAGAGTCCCTCTCGCTGCTCACCCGCTCCAATCAGCATTCTCGTAGTTCGGTCCTGTATCACACATAATTTATTAGTGAACTGAACAACACAATTCGACTCCTCAATCAATTGCAACACAGAAATTAAATTGCAATTCAAACTAGGCACATATAAAACATTAGTCAGTTTCAGATGATCGTCCAGCGCAACTGTGCCTTTTTTCTCTACTATTGTCGTTTTCCCATCTGGTTGTCCGATAGAGCATGGAATGACATTTTTTATGTCTCTCATCGATTTGAGGCTTCCTGTCATATGATGAGAAGCCCCTATGTCTATTATCCACTCTAACAATTTTCGCTTACTACTTAGTTGTTGACTCCCCTCTTTCTGTGTGTTCAAAAGGTTGAGTAACATGTTCCACTGCTCACTACTTAGTCCATTTAACCCAGTCTTGACTCCATCGATTGATTCTCCTTGAGACGCATTGCCTTGCGCAGAGACTTTAGTTGTATTGGCCCTGACTTGGCCGCCACGACCTTTTCCTCCTGCCCCTGCTCTGTGATTCCCCCCCGCCCACATCCACTCCACCTTTCCGTCTGAACGGATTCGTTATATCCGAGACCGCGTTGCTGTTCCCGTCGGGCACTACTCCAACGTCCAACGACGACGAAGAGACGCTCTAGCTAATTGTTGGAGTGGTGTAGCCGTAAGAAGGCTTGGATCGGCAGAAACCCATATCGAAGCAGCGATCGGAGGTGTTCATCAGTGGTGGCGGAGGGGGTTTCGTATGCACAGGAACTACACTATCAGCATTGGCGCTGTTCTGGTGGTGATACCTCGTCTCTATGGACGACCCGTAGTCGAGATCGAGATAAAGATCCACGTCGGAGAAGAAATAGTCACCTGACTTCAGATCGGGTGTTTCCATGAGTAACCAAGAAGCAGCTTCGGCCTCCTCGCGGCAGGTGTCATTGTCTTCCTCTTTGTCGTTACAATTGTCATCCTCGTCCGAGGACTTGAGAAGACCATCAGGAACAAGGAGGTTGGCTACATTAGATTTCATGGCGGAGGTAGCCGATTCGTAGAACGGAACGACAAGAATTCGCTCGTGCCGCCGGGCGAGTGGGTTTGCCGAGTGGATGTCTCAATCGCAAGTGACGCAGAGGGCAGCAGCGTCAGTCTTACAGGTGACACTGGCTGGGGCTTGCTCATAGACCTCGCACATCTAGACCCGCTCGTGCCGGGAGGCGAGCTTGTTCATGCCATGAACCTTGGCGTCGCAGTTGAAGCAGAGGAATGCTGAGTCTGCCCGGCAGAACAGTAGGGCCGACGCCGATTTGCACGAATCATAGGGCTTTGCCGACAAGCTCCAACTCGCCGGGTATCCCTTGCTGCTTTCATCGTTGATGGCCATCTCTCTCTTCTTCTTCTTCTTCCTCTCTCTCTCTCTCTCTCTTTCCTCGGTAACGGAGATACCCAACGTCCTGAGCAGAATTAACCAGCCCATCCATGAAATTCACGTAGGATGTCACACGGTTGCTGCAGTGGGGGTAGCATTGCTCGAAAGCCATCAGATTCAGAAATATCGACTTGGTCGAGTCGTGAACACCAATGGCGGAATGTAAAGAATGCCTTTCCTGAATTCAATATCCATGAATTTCGTCGAGTCGTTCTTCCTGAACTTCACTCCCGCGTCCCTCAGCATTGTGACGCAGTGGGTCATTACTTGGGGGTGCTATCTGCGAGTTCAAATCTACTCGTATAAAGCGCGCCCAAAAACGTCCCACAATACATCTTAGGTGTTGGGATTTGGGAACATCTCCCAATCACAATTATGGGAGATGTTTTTAATGCATGATAAGATGTGCATGTGGGGCATTTTTGGAGTGCATTTTATGGGGGAAGATGTGAATTTGAGTTAAAATTTTACATTACTCTAGGTTTAGGCTTTGAGTCAGATCCATTCAAATTTTGATAAAAGTTTAACACAAGTTGCATCCCTAGTCCCTACCGATGTGTCAAATACATGCTTTTCTGGCCTTTTTATTCATTTCATTTCACAAGGCCTATTTTTGGAAAAAAAAAAAAAAAGAAAACTTACAAGTAAAGGGATATTCCCAATACAAGGTGGCAAGAGCTGTGAGTACGGTATAAGCACGGTCATGTGAGGATTGAATCTGATCTTGTTAAATTCCACATACCCCCTCCTCCGGGGTGGGGTATCAGTAGTTATCACGAATAATATAGAATTTTTCTCAGTTGGGGAAAGAGATGGCAAGCCGCAAGTTGCATCTTGATTCCACCAAGTATTAACCATGATATTAAAAAGACCAATATTGAGGAGCCTCAGCTATACCCAATTAAGGGTGTCAGCGGTATTCGAAAATCCAATTTTGAATTCAAGATTCAACATAATTGAATAGAATTTGGATAATTCAAATATCTAATTGATCGAATTCAAATATGTTATTCATATCAAATAGTAAATCGGATTCGAATTCAAATATGACCTAATTCGATTCGATAAATATCCGAATTCAACAGATTATTTAATTCTTATATAATATATAAAATATTTAAATGTTTTATATAATTTATATAATAATTAAATTATATAAATAATTTATATATTTACATACTTTAAATAAATAAAATATTTGTGTTATATATTTATTAATTAGCTAAAATAATTAATTGATTGAATTTGAATCAAATTGAATATTCAAATATTTAATCGAATTTAAATTTAAATATTAATTTTCAATATCTATCAGATAGGTCTGTTTACACCCTATACCCAGTTTGGCACTAATACATTATAAGCTTCGGCAGTACGAGGGGATTCGCATTCTGATCGTTCACTTTAGCCTAATGTGGCACCATTGGATTTGTAGACCATGATGTCATTTGTTGGGGAAGGGGACATGTATGCCCATGCCCGCAAATGAGTCACGAGACTCCGACATGTTAGGTCCATTCTATCTACGCTTTAGTCTGAAATGCTTTCTTTTTGTGTCTAATTACCAAATCACCTTCTTCCATTAAAAAAAGACCAACTCCACTCCATTAACAGTACAGACGTGTAAACCCAAGGGGACCAAGGGGTGTGAGGAGGATTAACATTTCTCGAACCACCAAAGAAAAAAAGAAAGAAAGAAGGCCATAGTCTGCTACCTGTTTTGTTTCATTTATCTCATTTGAATGGTTTGTTAATAATAGGCGCCAAGTTCTGATCTTGTCGACTGACCCCCTACCGTCTCCTTCAACTCTTCAACCACTATCATTAAAGATTCTAAGGTTTAAAACATTGATATGCTTATTGGTAGGTGTATGGGGTAGTATTGGTTGTTTTTTTTAATGTTTTTTATATTTAGTTTAGAAAGATCGGTTTAAATTCCGTCCACCCCTGAACCAGTCAAAACCCCGATACATCCTCTGTAGGGGCGTATCAGGAAGCTCCCTATACGTGTCTTTTTGAACCTTTCCGTTAGGATCCGATGCTGCTCTGATATGTCCAGCAGGGAACTACCTCTTACACAATTGACATGGTCCCAACTCCCAATTGCCACACCCATCAGCTAACTACACTATGATCTCTTCTATAGGATTTTGCCTTTTGTCAAGTCTATATATTCAATCTCTTCCCCCCTTTGAACCGTCCTGAAGACGCATATATAAGACTATCAATATCACCAACTTTTTGCCTCATCCTAATTATTTTTAACACATTTACTAATTGTGGGAAGATAAAATAACAACAAATTCGTCAAAATAGAAGTGCATAATAATACCATATATCTACCTTCTTTTTTGGCTTTGATCCCATTTGCTGGTACCCTATGTTCTGTGAACCACAATACAAACAAAAGGCAGGGAAGCAGTACCACCTGTTTGGAAATGAAATCCCATTTTCCTAAATATTATCAGGACATCAACATCCTTCCATATTCTTAATTTAGTGCAAATATTATCTTATTTTGGCTCTTTAAAGGATGACATTTTACCAAGAGCATACAATTTCTTTTTCAAACTTTTCCCTGTAAATATTATCTTGGTTGGTCCCATTTGCATGTACAGTGAGCTTAAAATCCTTCCCCACTTAAGAACTTTTCAACTGTGAATTGATACATCAAAAAGGAGGATCTCATTTGTACTATTTTCTACAGATCCATCTTTATTAATCAATCTGTAATGCCACTTCCATCGATGGAATTTTGATGCTCATTCAGGTATATTTCTGCTAGTGCAGTGTGCATAGCTGCCCCAATTGGAAGAACATCCTCATCAAGAAAAAAGTAAGGAGAGTGTGGAGGGTGAACCGAACCCACTTTCTCGTTTCTAATTCCAATTCCAAACATCACACCAGGAATCACTTCTTGATAGAAGGCAAAGTCCTCACCTGCCATCACCTTCTCGCCCATCATAACATTCTTGGAACCTAGCAATAGCCTGCCTACCCTTTCAACATGCTGATGCAGGTTCTCATCATTAAAAACAGCAGGGTAAGCTGGGTACCCTTCCTCATCTTTTTTGTTAACAAAGGCCTTGCATCTATGTACATCTGCCTGTCGTTCAATAACCTGCAACCATCACCATACATACGAGTCAATACATAGCAACTAAGATGATCTTGTTTCTTTTTTCCATTTATACAAGTTCTAATCTCTGGATAGACTGTTTGAAATTCTTTTCAGGATCAAATTCATATGGTGTATGTGGGAAGCTTATTTGTGGACCACATATAGATGAATAGTCACTTCAAAATAAGGCCATCTATGACCATTGTTGCAAAACAACACCACATCCAGGTTTAAAATTTCAAATCTCTTTTTTTTTTTATCAATATCCAGGGTTCAAATCTTGGAAACAGCCTCTCTGTATGTGCAGGGGTAAGACAGCATAAATCTCTCTCATGCACAGGGCTTGCCCTTTTTTGGTGGAACTGATAGGAAACATTAAGAACAAAACATGGAGAACGAAGTATAAATTTGCCATAGTTCACAATCCATACCTCCTTCACCCTCCACCAGAGTCTGTGCAGCCCTTCAGTGGTAAGACTCCTCAAAGTGCCCTCAAAATTCACATGTGAGGGAATGGCATTGATTGCTGTCCCTCCTTTGACATAAGTAACAGAAAGAACCTTTAACAGAAAGATGGGCATCAGGAAGAAGTCACATTTAATTCCATCAATTGATTGCTACCAACAGAAGAGAACAAGCAATGACATAAACAGAAGAACTATACTCTGAAATCATGCCATCATGCTATTCAATCACCTACAAACAAAAATATTCCAATTTATCTACCAAAATCTTTCACAAAACCCAGATGCCCAAGTCCTTAACTGACTTAATCCATCAATCTTTCTGAATCCTTGTTGAGCCTTCATCCTATGCCAAACCACTCATTCTTACTAGTATCATCATCAGCATGGTTTTGCATATCCAAGCCATTACAAATGATTTTTCCTATTTTACTGCTTACTGTGTAATGGTTCAGAAATTATTTGGTCTATTATATGGATCAAAGTAATAAATAATGCATTACCCCAAGATGGCTTGTGTTAATGTGTTTTTTTTTTTTGAAAGGTAAGGTATTGTATTGTACTAGTATCAAAAAAGCCAGGTACATCTAGTGATTAGCATAGCTATACAGCTCCATAGGATATACAGATTGTTAGCAAGGTATGAACAGTTAAATAGCATGTCCTAGTCAAAATTATGTGATTGTCCAGCCCACTGAATTCCCTATGAAAATATAGCCATGAGCAGAGCATCCCTTTGATGTTGGACAGTATAGTTTGATCATCTGAGCTCACATTATTGAAGATCCGAGCATTCCTTTATCCTTTCCCTCCAAATACACCAAAAAAAAAAACAGCCATAGGAACCATATCCCATAGGGTTTGACCTCTCTTACTCAAACATTTCAAAATCCAGATTTTGAGGAAGGAGAGAATGGATGAGGGGAAGCAGCCAAACCAATCAAAAGTTCCCAGAACTACATTCCACACCCTATGTGCATGCTGACAATGAAGAAAGATGTGATTAGCTGTTTCCAACTCAGCAAGGCAAAAAATACAGCCAGCCTGATCCAGTTTCATTCCTCTGCTTAGAAACTTATCCTGACTTGAACACTTCCCTAGAGCAGAAGACCAGATGAAGGATTTGGCCTTTGAAGGGGCATTGTTCTTCTGGATTCTAGAGGCAGGGAAAGAATTGGGGACTGCACCAGCAAGGAGCTTATAGAAAGAGTTCACAGAGAATGAGCCACCTTTCTCACCCACCCACATTCTAGTGTGTTGTGAGTCTGGCTTGGGAGAATGAAGGTGCAGCACATGGAGCATTTCCATCCATTGATCAAACTCCCAGTCATTCAAATTCCTTCTGAAAGATGGAAACTAGTTGACAATACTATTGGAGATAGAGAAACAGTTCCTAACCAGCACCCTACTATCCTGAGCTGCCAAGAATAAAGCTGGGCAATGGGTATAACTCCATCAGAGGTTTCTGCCCGAACCACTTGTCCAACCAGAATTTGATTCTGCTTCCATCTCTGGTTTTTACTCTAACCCCTTGAGAAAAAACTGGGTAGAGATTTTCAATGCATTTCCAGACCTATGAGCCAGATGAATGAATGTTTTTGCCTACTTCCCAATCAAAGTTCATAGAACTAAGTTAATGTAGAGGCTGATGTAGAGGCTGATGTAGAGGCTGAATTTAATCATGAAGAAGTATGTGACAAATCTAAAAAGAACAAAAAAGTGAAGCAGTTAAGTGCCTGAATTTAGCTATTTTCTTGTTTTAATTCTGTTTTGATGATTTATTGGGTTGTTTCTCAATCAGTTAATGCTTTCTAGTTTCCTATACTATCAGAAAGAGTCTTATAGGTTTATAGTTATTAGATAAGGTTCATCTTATTATTTTGGGGGACAAGGGTATTTTTGTAATTTTAGGGTTTTATTGGTTGCCACCCTAAACAAAACCCCTATATAAGAATATTATTATCTAATCCAAAAAAAAAAACAGAAAAAAAGATATTCAGTTACTTCAAGTTTAAGAAAGCCGGCGGTTCTTTCTTCACTCTGCATCTCTGTTTGGGTGATTTTTGCTGTAAAAATCACTAGAATAAATCTGGTAGACATGTTCTCCTGCATTAAGTCGCATCAGAGCTTGAGTTTCCTCTCAGACATGGCCCACAATAATGCTTCCAATGATGGATCTGAGATTCTCTTAGCCATCAAAGAGTTATAACAACAAGATTCATTCTTTCAAGGTTTAGAAGCTACTATTAGGCAGTTGGCTGAAGTAATCACTAGGACCAATCTTCAGCCGCCTAGTACAGCTCCAATGCAAGAAGAAACTAGGGATTTTCCTGCTATACTAGAAAGGGGAGATGATCATGGGAATCAGTTTCAACAAGGAGTGGTGGTCCATCCCCAAGAACAACCACATTTCCTAGCCCTAGCAAACAGTGTTTGATTATAGTGATGAAGAGGAAGATTTTGAAGATGAAAATCAGGCTATAGGAAGGCCAATTAATGCTAGATATCCACCTAGAAGAAGAAATAATGGTGATAGGGATTGCAAAATGAAGATTTAGATTCCAACTATCAATGGATAGTTGCATACTGAGGATTTCTTGATCAGATTCGCGAGGTGGAGAAATTCTCTGACTTTGCGGAGACAATAGAAAATAAGAAGGTGAAATTGGTCTCTTATAAGTTGAAAGGGGGAGCTGCTACTTGGTGGTATCAATTTCAGATGAAGAGAATTTGAGATGGAAATTGACCTATTTGGACATGACTGAGAATGAAGCAACTACTTCGGGCTCAATTCTTTCCACAGTTCCATGTGATTATGATCAATATTTGTTCCAACAATAACAACATTGTGTGCAAGGTATACGTGGAGTTAGGGAGTATGTATCTGAATTCCCACAGTTCCATCCAACTCTGTAATGAGTTGGATGAAACTCCATCACAAAAGTTGCACAATTTATTTAGAATCTCAAACCAATCACAGGAAAGAGTTGCAGCCCAAGATGTATGGGATGTGAATGAGGTTATTCATTCAGCTATCAAGGCTGAAAGGAATCTTGAACAATACCTGATTAGAAACCAAACATTGGGAAGGCATTACATCGTTGAGACACCTAGGGTTGAGACTACCCTTGCAAAGGGAAAAAAAAGTTGATAGGGAATACCAGCACTCTCCCTTGAATGCTTTGAAGGCTGGAATGTTCACTGCTCCATTCCATAATGCTTTTCAATGAAAGAAGCAACCTAGAGAATAACCAATTCAGCCTCATGCACAACAAAGTCAAACTGTCCAGAACAGCAATCAGCCTAGAAATAGCAACCCTTATGCATATCCTATTGGGAATAAATGCTATTTGTGTGGGGGGAAGTGGTCATACTTCTAGCTCTTGCCCACAACCACGTACTAGAGGAGTAAATATGAGTGAACAAGTTGAAGAAAGACCTGATTATCAACCCCAGAATGAGGAGCCTACTGTTGATAAAGAAGAATAGGTTTTAGGAGATGATATTCATTGGGTTTTCTAGAAGAATAGAGATCTTTCAATGTGGTCAAGTGTATTCTAAGGAGATTAGATATATCTATACTATTGTTACCAAGAAGGTCCCTCACCTTCCGATGTACTCAATGCCATGAAACCATTATTTAAAGAATACACTTGTGTTCTCCATTATAGTGGATGAACTAATTTTCTACACTATAAAATGAGTCCTAAGAAGCATGAGTTACTCCAAGGGCAAGTGGATGAACTTATAAGAAAAGTAATGGTGCAAATCAATACCAGCCCATGTGCTGTTCCAGCCTTGCTTGCACCAAAGAAGGATAGGAGTTGGAGGACTTTAGGGTGACGGTTTGGCTTTGAGCCACAATTTAGCAACACTTGTCATCCTTAAACCGATGGGAAGACATAAGTGTTAATAAAACTTTTGGTAATATGATATGCAATCTACCAATGGAAAACCTAAACAATGGGATTTAGCTCTTGCACAAGCAGAGATTGCCTATAAAAACACAGTGAACAGATCTACTGGCAAATCTCTATTTGAGATTGTGTTTGGGCACACACCTAGACATACTTTATACTTGGTTCCACTTTCAAAATTGCTGAGATATAGTATTGCAGTGGAGCACTTTGTTGACAATATCATATCTACTCATGAAGAAGTAAAGAAACACCTAGAAGAGACAAATGACAAGTATAAGCAATCAGATAACCAGCATAGGCAACCTAAAATTTTCCAAGAAGGGGATGAAATAATGATGTTTCTAAGGATGGACAGGTTCCCTATAGGGAAATACAACAAGTTGCAGCCGAAGAAGATTGGACCCTACAAGATCGTGAAGCAGATTAATGACAATGCCTATGTCATAGACCTTCCTACTTCCATGAATATATCTAGAACTTTCAATGTTGCTGATCTATTTGAGTACCATCTACCCATCTCCACACAAGACTCGAGGGCAAGTCTTCTTCAAAGTGGAGTGGACTGATGTAGAGGTTGTTGTACTTAATTATGGAGAAACATATGACAAATCTAAAAAGAACAATAAAGTGAAGCAATCATGTGCTTGAAGTTAGCTATTTTTCTTGTTTTAATTCTGTGATGATAATTATTGGGGTTGTTTCTCAGTTAGCTAATGAGTTCTAGTTGATTATTATTGTTAGGAAGAGTCTTACAAGGTTTATATTTATTAGATAGGGTTAGTTGTTGGGATTATCTTTTTATTTTGGTGGATGAGGGTGTTTTTGTAATTCATAGGTTTCATTGGCTGCCACCCTAAATAGAACCCCTATATAAGAACATTATTAGCTGCTATCAGAAAAAATGAAAAGGAGGATACTTTGTTACTCCAAGCTTAAGAAAGCTGATGCTTCTTTCTTTACCCTATTTTTCTTTCTTTCTTCTAAATTTCTCAATTAGTTTGAGTGATACTTTCTGTAAAAATCACTAGAACAGATCTTCTAGACCTATTATCGTACATTAAGCACCATTTCCCAAGCCACCTTCCTTTAAGGCTATGTTTGGCTTGAAGAAAAATGTAGGGAAAGGAAGGGAAAGGTAGGGAAACCTTTACAAACCTTGTATTGGTTTCCCTGTCTTTCCCTTCCTTTCCCTACCTTTTCCTTCAAACCAAACATAGCCTAAAGGTCTACAAACCTTGTTCTAGTCTACCAAATGGATTTTGGATTCCCAGCCTTTCCAGAGGAAACCACTCATCTTCTTTTCTAATTGTTGAGCAACACCAGAGGGAATAGGGAAGAGAGAAAGACAATAAGTGGGAAGGGAAGCTAGAACAATAAAAGAATAAAGTTCAAGTTAAGGTCATATTAAGAAAAGAATTCATTCATGCTAGGATCTAGTATAATGGTTTAGCAACAGTTTAATTAGCAGTTCCCATTCCGCCATATGTTGGTGATCAAATAAGACATTTGGAGAAGTAACACAAAAACATTTAAGAAGCTGCATGGTTTGCAACAAGGATACCCAATTGTTGCATATGCAGAAAATACCTGTAAGCTTTACATTATTAAGAACATACTTGGCTATGGAGAGGATCCACTTCTCTTGAAATGAGTTGTTGCAATGCCAAAATGGTAAATGAAGCTGCAAGTATTGGATCCACAGTCAAGTGGGGTGCTGCAGAATTCCCACCTTTCCCTTCTATCCTTGCTTCAAAAAAACATACTGCAGCTAGAGCAGGTCCTGCAATGGACTGTATGCTTCCTGTGGGCCTTTGGAAGTCAACATGCATTCCAAAGATTGCTTCAGCATCACCAAGAGCACCTTCCTTTATCATGTGAGCTGCACCTGCACCACCTTCCTCTGCAGGCTGGAAAAGGAGCCTCACAGTCCCCTTCAGCATTAAGTAGCAGAATATTTAATTCCAATTAATCCAACAAATATGTAATTAAACAATAGAACGAGGAAACAAAAAAAAGAACACAGCATACAAATATTTAATTCCTTTATATGTGCAGTGTATGTCAAAAATAAAAAAGTAATTAAAAAAAAAGATCAACACAGGCCCACTCTGTGGTGATGCACAAAGAACACAGCATACAAATCTACATAGGTCATCTTGGTTCCTGTATAACTTAACACGGTTGATATGGGAGGCATGAAAAATAATATGCAAAGGTGACGTGAGAAGCAAGAAAGGAACTCAAGAACAATGACAGTTATTAAACTAATTACCAAATGCTCATTTAGCAAGCCAGAAGTTTGGTCTAACATCTAAGTTTAAGACATGTTTAACATAATTTAGCAAGAAGTTCTGTTTTCTAGCTATTCAGGATTTCAAGCATGATAAGTGAAGAATATCCAAGTTCTAGTTAAAATCAACAAGGGTCATTACCCAAAGTTGGTTCCAGCTATCCAGGTTTTGGGAGGGGACGACCGGAGGACTGGATACGGGCACAACCTTTGGCATTTCCACACAAAAATGGTTTTCTCAAAACTTGAACTTGTATTTTCACTCTTGCCAGCCCGAGATTTTACCATTTGTAAGAATCAAAATGCTTGCTAAGAAAACAAATGATCATTTTTGTATTTAGAATAATTTCTATCAAATGCAAATGCAAATTTATGATTCTATTTAATATGGGAAACAAGACAAAATGCACCAACGAAAAGAGCTTAATCAAATGCCATGCTCATGAGAAAGTTAGTGGTATCTTCCTGGCAGAAAACAAAAATGAGAACGTTATGGTAAAAGATAGGGGACCTGTAGATGAGTTTTTAAAATATTATGGTATAATAATACTTGCTTCTGTACAATGGAAGTTACCATTAACTTTCTCACGAACATGGCATTTGATCTAAGCCCTCTTCATTGTGCCTTTTGTCTTGAATTGTCATGTTGGAATGAAATATAATATTTTGTAGTCTAGCTCTGGTGTACACGGCATGCAAGGAAATCCGGTAAAGGTGGCTCAAAAATTTCCATAAAACGCATATCCTAGGGAAGCATTTTAGCATATGAAATATATCCATTTCAGAATATAGGCATGTCTAGAAAACACTATGAAGATATTATATGGATCAAATAAACCAGCAGGATTTTATTAAAGTTATTAGATCTCATTGATGCGGGTTTCCTTTGGAAGTGTCATAAGAGACATCATATAAATTACATCTTTTAGGTACTTTGGAGGATGGAGAAAAAGATGTGAATGTTGTAGGGAGATTTGCCCACTTTTAGTGAGCTTACTAAAAAATACTTTTTAGTTAAGTTTGTTTGTTGTTATTCATTTGCAGGTTGTAAGGAGATTTGCCCACTTTTAGTGAGCTTACTAACAAATACTTTTTAGTTAGGTTTGTTTGTTGTTATTCATTTGCAGGTTGTGAGGAGATTTACCCACTCACCATGGTAATGGCTAGTAGGCAAGAATCACAGTTAACATTGATACTGTTGACTTCAAGATTCCAGAAAGGCATCCTTACGAAAAGAGACTCAAGTACAGTTTTGTATGTATTAAACAGAGGTGAGACCGTGAGAAATTTGATCAACGGCAGAACAGGAGCTCCAGTATTTTGATTGATACAATGAGAACTCGATTGAGGAATTGAATCGAACACCCACCTTGAGATCATCTTTCCGTTGGCGTTGACTAAGCATTTTAGCCGCTCCAAGAAGCATGGTGACATGGGCATCGTGCCCACAACCGTGCATTTTACCATCAATTTTGCTCTTATATTCCCATTCCACAAGCTCCTAAATAAAAAAATAAAATAAAATAAAAAACAACAAAATCAAAGGTATAAGGTATATATATCCAAGTAAGGAAAAACAAGAGTAGAATTAAGGAAGACAGAGAGAAAGAAAGACTTGAAACGAAAGAGATGGGTGTTCTACGGTACATAGTATAGGTATACACCTGCAAGGGGAGGGCATCCATGTCAGCTCGTAGAGCTACAATTGGGCGAGATCCAGACCCAATTTGTGCGACGATACCGGTCTTGGCAAAGGGGAATGAATAAGAGATATTGAGTCTATCGAGCTCTCTTCGGATAAGAGCACTTGTCTTGTGTTCTTGAAATCTAAGTTCTGGATTTTCGTGTATCCTTCTTCTAACAGAGATCAACCATTCCCTATCTTTCTGGGCTAAGCTCATTAGCTCTGTTGCGTAGCTGTTGTGGTAGTTGCCATCAAATGCAGAAAAAACAGAAGCAAACAGAGGCAAAGAGACCAGAAAATGCAACAGAAGGCCACCCATCTCAACCAGAAAGAGGAAATTAGAAATGGAACGAAAAACTTAATTAGTAGCGACGACTTACGACGAGACAGGTTAGGTTGGCATGTTGACTGTTGTTAATGTGTTTTACTTGGTGTTGGTGGTTGAATAACGAAGAGCGATGGTGGCGCGGCGAGAGTTCGGAAGGACTATAGATACAAATACATATAAAATAACACAATACAAATACATATATGTATATATGTACGGTGCAAATCTATTCTAATAAAAGAGTAAATAGCCCCATTTTCTCAATTTTTCATTAGACATTTTTATTCCTCGTCTAAGCATCATACAACCGGCATAAAAATGGTATATATGTCTTTTACTCTTACTCCAAAAACTGTCCACTTATGAAGGTTAAAAAACTGTCAACTTATAATTGTTCAAAAATTATCCACTTGTAACAATTAAAAACTGCCCACTTATAACTGTTCAAAAACTGTTCATGAATTATAAATATTTTTGACTTGTAGATACCGTCACGTGCAAATGCATGTACATATTTACTAGTATATATAAAATAACACCAAATACAAGTTTTGCAGAATCCGTATCTCCTACTCACAAAACTATGTCCACATCTACCCATAGTTACACATAGGAACATCTCATTCTCTTATATAGCATTATGCATAGGGAGATGTTTCCAATGCACCAAGTCAGTGTGTTGTGGATAGTAGGTAGAGTTCTAGAAATTTAGAGTCAGTTTTGCACCCCACATATTTTTACTTGTACTCTTTCCAAACTGAGCATATGGAATATTGGTTGTACTTTACATCATCGATATTTCCGGCAACACCCAAAGAAACCCCACCAGCCACATAATTGGCTTATAAGGGTAAGGACGAATAGAGTAGGGAGACCGTATCAACCCCCCACAATGTCCCACAATGTCCCACAACATATCCCCACCGTGTATTGGGAACATCTCCTGATGATGACATCATCATTCAGGATATTATCATCGGGAGATATTCCCAATACACGACATAGATGTGCTATGGGACTTTGTGGGGGTAGTCTTGTGGAGATGTGCTGTGGGACGTTGTGGGGAATTGATTTAAACTGCAGAGTAGGATGCACGCGATGCCCATATGTCATTAATTATGACCTATTGAAGGACTGGGCTGGGCTTCGCTTCTATATTAACAGAATATATTTATCCCAAACCCAAGTCCACCCTATCATTGTCACTAGATCTTTAGTTTTAGACCAGCCCTCATAAAAAGCCTGAAGCCCGAGCTAAAATCCAAAGCCCGATCAAGAAAATTGGGTAAAAGAGTATTTTCTTTACTCAATAATGCCCTAACACCAACAATATAAATGATTAGTGAGAGATTGAGTGGTTGCTTGCCATATGGATTTATGTCTGGTGTGTAGGGGTGTCAATTGGACCAGATTTGGTCCAATCCTATCTGGTCCAATATGAATCCATTACAAATGGACCAGATCTAACCAATCTGAGAAATACTTTGGACCATTTTGAACTGGTTCAATCTATTTAAATTGGTTTTAATTTAGATTTGTTTCAATCCAAATCTGGTCCATTAATTCCTATATTCTTATCTTCTACTAATGGATAAGATATTGGTTCAATCTAATCCAATCCAATATAAATCCATTACAGATGGATCAAGTCCAATCTAATCCAATAAATATTTTGAACCATTAAGTCTGAATTGATCCTATTCCGATAAATCCATCCAAATTGATTTTAATGTGGGATGTTAAGTTATACTATATTATATCATATCATATTATATTATAATATCATGGTCGGTAAAATGGCTTCTTGCCCAAATAATTTAATCTTTAGATTTAATAATTGAATCAAGACATTCAAAGGAATACATACTTAAATGTCTTATCAACTTTTTGCAAGGATAGTATTTTAAATATTTAAAAGTATACAATAAAACAGTACAAAATCTAAACAACTAAGAGATTTGAAGATTTTTTCACCTTCTTACCATTTTATTAATTTAAACGCATGTGCTTAACATCTAAATACATGCATTTAAATATAAGGTTCTCAAAATACGAAATCTATAGGCATTTAATCATATGCCCGAAGCTGGGCTTTTACATAAAGATATAAAAAAAGGTATTATTGAAGCCTTTTTTTGAAAGATTTTCTAGAAGATCTAACAATAAAAAATGTAGTGGATTTTTACATAAAGATTTTGGTAATTCACATACCGTATAAATATAAGACGAAAAAAATCGAAAAGTTCTATTTGGAATTTCTCGAAAATAGCTCGAAACGGGTTTCTTGTGTCTTTTCAGGACAGAATCTTTTAGCAATTAGGCAACTGTTTGGCATCATTGTCGTTTCCTGGAGCAACGGCGCCAAATCAATGCCACATCAGAAAAAAACGGTGTTCTAGGAAACAGGCATTTGTTTGGAACCGTTTTTCCATAAAAAACAATGCTCTAAGCCATGCCTTGAAAATTGGGAAGCCATGGCTTGGAGCAATGCCAAATTTGGCGTTTCCTGGAGCTACAAATCATTGCTGCCAATAGGGCAGTGATGTGGCACTAGATAATGAGTATCAGTGCTGAAAACGTTTCCTGGAGCAATGGTACCAAACAGAAAAAGTTGTTATTGCTCCAGGAAACGTCCTACCTAACAACAATGAATCCAAACAAAAATAAAGGCACCATTTTTTCAGAAAACGGTGCTTCCAAATCACACATCAGTTGTTGTTACATCTACAGCATCAATGCCAAATATATACTAGATCTTTCCCCAACCAAATGAGAAAAAACGAAAACACTGACTGTTGAGCTTATAAATAATTGACAGCCCACACGGAAACATATGCCAAATAAGCCATTAACAACCCACACAAAAAGACAAAAGCGTAAGCTTAGTATTAGATGCTAAGCCCAGCCCATGATCACCATGGGTGACCAACCATTTCAACTAATGGACCATTGACTATATATACATATATATGCACGCACCAATGAATTTTTCTATATCATATCATATATATTTTTACTATATAATAAAGATACATACTTCGGCTTAACATCCAAATCATAAGAGTTAAATCAAAATATTTTAATAATGTTATATAATCTCAATATCGCAAATCCAAGTATGTTAAAATAAAATTGGGAAATTTAGAGTGCACTTACCTCAGGGGTTTTTATTAGGTTTGTGGGTTTTATTTACCAATACCCTCCCCCCAACTTGAATTTTTATTCATTCCCCCACTGCTACTGCTCCAATTATACTAAGGTTTATGGATGGATTGAACAATAGAATCCTCCATCATATGGTTTAGTTAATTGACTAACTCAATCCTTATTATTTACATATTGTCTTATACTACTCTCAAATTTTCTGACAATTGATTAAATCCTTTTTATTACTAACATCTGTTGACGGAAAAATTAAAAATACTAATCTATCCATCATTATTCTTCAAATTTTAACCCATGATTTACTGGAATCAGACATCTCTCAATTCATAATAGAGATGTATGGGTGCAATTGATAATAGGGAGTGGGTAGAAAAAGTGAATAGGAAATCCCGAATGCGTTTACTGTGCTTCAAATACATGCCTGCTCAAAAGAAACACTACAGCATCAACTTGAGAGGTTTTCCTTTCTCCGCTCTCCCTGCTTCTATAATCGGGTGCAAATGGGGAAGATTTTTGCTTATAAAGGGTCGTGTAACTGGTTTTTTATTTTGATTTACTTGCGTTCTCTGAAGCGGAATCTGATGGAAAAGTTTTAAGGAAAATTTTGGGGCTTTGTTCAGTGTAAGACAGTAAACTAGATTTCCTTGTTTGTGTTTCTCTTGTTCCGAACTCAAAAATGCTGCAAGGAATCACCAGCTGAAGCAGTAGATTGGTGATTTGGAGTTGGATTTAAATATGGGTTTTTTTATTTCAAGTTCTCTCTCAACCTTATACGAGTTGGGTTGCAGGCGTTGTCAAAATTCCTGTCGGCATTGTCAATGAAGAGAGGAAGCTTAGAAAACAAGGATAGACTTATCAAACCACACCGGTACACTGATGATACTGATGATGCAGAGACGACCATGAGAATGAGAGCGTAAGGGCTGCAAGGAGCGCGGGACAGAAAGATGCACCCGCACAATCGACTATCGAGCAGCAGCTACCACAACACACCATCACCTTCACCACCACAGTCGCCTCTCCGATCGTTGAGGTATAGGAGGGGGAAGAGCGGGAGGTTTACAGTAGGCCAGCAAACTCAGGTTGGAGACCCTAGCAATGGGGAAGATTTGTGCTTGTAAAGGGTCATGTAACTGGTTTTTTATTTTGATTGGAGACCCTAGCAAAGGGCCAACAACCTCGGACGGTAGAAGACGGTGAGGTTTCGAGATGAATGGCGATCTCCCAACTCGTAGGAGCAGCAGCTGCAACTCTGTTACGGATGGTAGAAGACGACGAGATTTTGAGCGGAACGGCGTTGAAGATGTAGATACCCCACTAATAGATGTTAGTGACTAGGTTTTGTAGAGAATAATGTTGGAGTCAAAGCTAGGGTTTGCCTCGAATAACAACGCTCTGGGTTGCGTGGTCTAATTTTCCGGCCTTTTATCGAAGTTAGACTCCGGCGATTTGCGCCCGACATAGAAAAGATCAATTAAGAGTTTTAAGGGTATTTTCGAATTTTTTGAAAAAAACCAGTCACGTGATGTCACATGTGACATCAATTAGCTAAATAATTGAAAAAAACCAGTCGAGCTCTTCACAAGTTACTTCAGCTTGGCTCGTGAAAAGCTCGGCTAGGCTCGGCTCGGTTTCAACTAAGCTTCAAGCTGAGCTCGAGCCCAATAAAGCTCGGTTCATGAGGCTCACGAGTTGAGCTTGAATATATATATATGTAATAAAAATATTATAATTTTTAATTTTTTAAATATCAAATAAAAAATATTTTTTATATATAATTTTTTTTTATTTTTATAAAATATTTTTTCTCAAATCGAGCTTGAGTCAAGCCAAGCTCGATCTTACGAGTTCTTGACTCAAGCCGAGCTCGGGCTCAAGGTTCTAGCTCAAACTGAGCTCGAGCCTTGTACTACTTTGGCAAGCCGAGCTCGAGCCTCATACTATTCGGCTAATATCGAGTGATCTTGATAATTGAAATATCCAACAATTAAGCTAAAGCCCACTCACTAGCCGTCCATTTATCTGGTACTCCCAATCCAAGGTTTACATGGGTGGCATTTAAATTATGATAAGCTTTTTTTCTTCTACCCCATCTTCTCTTTTTCTCTGTCCATGGTAGAGTTTGGTGTGTAGCCGTATAGGGATTGATAGAGATGAGAGGTACAACGTCATCAATTCCACCACCCACCGGCCACCACCACTAATTGTATATTTATTATGTAAATAAATTATTCTTTACCAAATATTGAAATGTTGAGTTCCAAATATTGAAATACACCCATCTATTCTTTACCAAAAAATAATAAATAATGAGAGAAAATGAAACAAAAATTAGAAGCCAAGGACCAAAACTTCACCTTTTTCAAACAGAAAAAATGACGAGCTGAGGAAGAACAGAACTACAGTCTACAGAAGGTCTGAAGTAAATTTCAAGTGTCGTTGTGCCATCGTGCCGGTCTGAAATGTCGAAGTCCGATTAGAAGCTAAAGTGGCGGTGACTGAGAAACTAAACTAAGGAGACGATGACTGAGAATCGGTGAGACGCAAAGACAGTGATGAAAAACTTTCTCAGAGAATGATAAAGTGATGAGTAGAACTTTAGAAGCTAAAGCCTCAAGCGGCGAAAGCAAAACAAAAGAGTAAAGACCAAAAGGGTTTGAGCTTAAGGGTTTTAGGTGTTAAAGGTAAAATTACTATTTTAGGCATACCTATAACTCTAAAACATATATATAATTGGTTCAGATCTAATCGGTTTAGGATAATCAAAACAGTCCCGAATCGATATTAATCGGGACACATAAAATAAAACCATAACCAATCCATCGGAATGAATCATAGAACTAGAACCGATAAATTCGGTTCAGACAGTTCAGGTCTATCGGGTAGACCCGACCCATTGACAGCCCTACCGTCACCGGAGATGATTCTGCAAGTCCCTCTCTCTTCTCTTCTCCTCCCTCCCCACCGACACACATCATGACGTGAACAATTAAGACGACTCTACCACCCAATCTCGCCGCTGTAACCCTCTCTGGTGCTGTATTTCAGCCACTTCTGTAACCCTCCCTCTCCGCTGCAACCCTCGCTGGTGCTGTATTCTGACCAACTCTGTAGCCCTCACCCCCGCAACTCTCGTATTGCGGTGAATTGCAGAAGTTCTTCCACAAGGCAACATTTATCTGAAAGAGTTTTTTTTTTTTTTTTCATTAAGAGTTTGTTTTATAAGTAAATCTTTGTTCGCTGACTTGCTTTAGTCATGATCTACTAAGCTATGGTTGTTCTAATGAATTTCTGGTTCTTGATCATCGTACATGTATGTTCTTTGTTCCAAATTCTTATATTCCTTTTTTTTGCATGTTGTATCATTACTGATGTATCCACATGGCAGAGTCCTTGCTCTGTTTAGAACACAGGAAAGGCATTTCTAACATGAAAAACGGTTCTTAATATTTAGGATAAATAGAGCTGAAAGAAGGTTGGAGATTTGCATAATCTTGATTGACCATCTAAACTGTCTATCAGATAGGGAACTCAAATGACTGGCCACATGTTCAATCACATGATGTACATCTCAACCTTGTGCCCCACTTTTGTGTTCTATTCAAGCCTTCAATGTTTGAATTTTCAATGTAATATAAATGGGAACATGGTAAGGCATTTTAACCTGAACTTTTTGCACTAAAATCCACCACCTGTTTCTGTATGGTTCTTTACAAGTTTGGATTAGGTTTTTTGATGAATTACAAGTTTGGATTAGTTCACCAAATAACTTGGCTAACAAATCAATTGTGATATATGATTGATGAAAAAGTACCCAAATACCAAATCACCTCCAAACATAAAATCATAATAACAAAAAAAAAAATAATAATAAGTCTACAACAGATTCATAGATGGCTCATGAAGTACTCATTTTGTCGAATTTCCTCTTAAAGCCATTATGGAGTCGTTAGCAAAGCAAGCAATTGACACTGAGGATGTCCTTAGGCTTTTGTTTGAAACATTCCACCATCAGGGTGAGGGAGAGGTTATGAATAGAAAGGTATACAAAAATGTGACTATCATTGTATTGGAATGTTAAATCTTCAGATTGGCAGCAAACGTCTACTGCACCAACTGTTAATGAACATGTCATGTCAGCATAATTTAAAAAAGGGTTTCTAGCAACTTTTTGTCGTGAATATCAATAAAAAATAATATTTTTATAAAATAGTTAAAATAAGATAATTCTTTTGAAAAAATATGGTGGCACTGTTCATCGTCTTCCTCTGCCTTCCTTTGTATTAATGCCAGCCATTTCAACGGATCAACGGGTCCCCACATTCCATACCGCGTGCTAGAGGCTCCAGAAGTTATCTCTCTGGGTTTGCAAACCCAGCACCTAGGCATTACCTGCAACCCTCCAGAAGTTCTCTCTCTGGGTTGGCAAGGTTGCTTAAAATAAAAGGTTTTTGAACTTTGAAGTTCGAAGAAGAAAACGGCCATTGACTAACGTAACGATCGTTTCTGCACAGTGTTATAGGTCAGCTGCAGACCCATTTTTTACTATTTAGTATTAATTTATTTTTATTTAGTGGTGCTTTTATAGTTCTGATTTGAGTACAGAACCCTACGTCTGTCAAGGAGAGAGGAGAGATAAAACGAAAGAAAACAACAGAGAAAGATCCACGGATCTGAAATCATCTCTCTCTGCCTCTCTCTCCCACTGTTTTCTTACGGTTACGGGGAGTAATTTATTTGGGTATCTGAAATCAACTCTCTCTGCAAACCCAAGAGATAACTTCTGGAGGGTTGCAGGGAATGCCTAGGTGCTGGGTTTGTAAACCCAGAGAGATAACTTCTGGAGCCTCCCCGGGGTGGTCTGTCGGGATTCGTTGACCCGTTGAAATAGCCGGCATGAATACAAAGGAAGGCAGAGGAAGATGATGAACAGTGCCACTGCCCTTTTTGATATTTTTCCAAAAAATGTTATTTTATATTAGTTATTTTATAAAAACATTGCTTTTTATTGATATTTGGGGCAAAAAGTTGCCCTTATCTACTAGAAACCCTTTAAAGAAAGCCTGCTGTGAGTGAATCTTAACACTAGTAATGTTAGATTTATGTCGAAATACAGAATGCAAGGGAAAGCGTTGCAGCGGTGAGGGAGGGCTACAGAAGTGGCCGAAATACAGAACCAAAGAGGGTTGCAACAGAAAGGTTGGGTTGCAGAGTCATCTCGACTGCAGGTACGGATCGCGTCACGATGCGTGTCAGTTGGGAAGGAGAAGAAGAAAAGAGAGATGGACTTGCAGCATCATCTTCAATGACAGTGAATGATATTCACGTCCAAGGGTGAAGGGGCAGTGGGTGGAGAGAGGGAGGGGAAGAGAATACTCAGCGTGAACTATGAAATGAAAGGAGATGTACGCTTGGGTTAAACAAATTTGATAAAAATTCGCATCCACACTACCGTTAGCATCTCAAGTCCATTAAGGCTGCTTTCTTTGCAATGCAAATGCAGATATGTACCCTACATATTTACCCATTTTTCTCATCCCGTTTGTTTGAAATCTGCTATTCCAACTATCTTATGCTCCAATGACTCAACTTTGGTCAAAAAGTTAATTATCAAATGTATACAAATTTGTATCCCAAAAATAGGTACAGTAATGCTCTCTTTTTAGAGTACAAAATGTTAGAAAATGCAATTTTACTTTGATAATCATTACTTTTTTACGTTTCAAACAAACGCTTGTAAACACGAACCAGGGTGCATTAATACCCCGGTTCAGTGTTTGTATTGCAAACAAACGCAGCCTTAGGCTCAGTTTGGAAGAGTACAAATGCAAATATGTAGAGGGTAAACCCTTATATTTTGTACACATTTGCACTGTACATATTTTGTATTTGCACTCTTTCCAAACTGAACCTAAACCTTATAATTTGTACAAATACAAATATGTAGAATGCAAAACCTTATATTTTGTATTATTTTGTCTGTATTTATACAATACATATTTGTATTTATTCTCCTTCCAAACTAAGCCTTAATTTCAATTTTCAAAATGAGAGGGAGAGTGTGATGTGTTCCAATATAATTGGACGGGACAGAATTTTCTATCCCTAGGGCTTAGGGGACAGACGATGTGAACTCCACCCCTACGGCTTACTTCGGGTCCATTGCCGTTGGTGGCTATGATCCTAGAAGGGAATTAGACCACTAATTAGTGATATATCTTCTCTTCTAAATTTGTTGTTCTACTTACAGTTCTCAATTCACAAAAGCCTTAAATGGTTCTATGGTGGAACTAAGTTTGTGTGTGGGGCTCTGGATTCAGATGCCGGTAAGTAGGAAGGCCAGAAATGAAGACCGGAGATAGCATATCCTGCTTGTTACAAGGGATAACTGCTCAAGTATTTTGCCGTTCCCAATCCTGTCCAGAATAAGATTTGATGTTTTGTGATTGTCCGAAAGATTAAAATAGGAGGGATTAATTTATTTGTTTTGCAAGATGAGGTTAGGCCCTGAATAAACACAGCTATTTATACAATTCAATAGTGGTTGAAACTTGAGTGTTAAATCACTGCCAATTTCCAATCGAATAGTGGTTGGAGATAAGTCTTTAAAATAAGAAATGCCAAATGCAGCCTAGTTTCATATGTCTGGCGTTAGTCTCAATTAGTCCAATTTCGGGAATGCAAGCTTTATATGCAATTTTATAACTCATTTGCAAAGAATTCTGATCCGTTCAATTGATGCAAATTTGCAAATTGCTGCGTGGCCTGGGGTTAAAATTATTTGACTTGGAAACAATTCACAGAATAACACTCAACAATTGTAGCATAATCTAACCTTGAGACGCTCAGACCAAGTGATGGTCACGATGAAAAGGGCTTTGACACCTTAGGAATCAGGGTCTTAGTTTATGTTGGGCGCTCTAGTACCAAGTTGTGGATCTCGAAAGTGAAAAATGTCTGTCCAAGCTACTGAACCTCAGTGATCAAACGACGCTTCAGCTGCTATGCAGAACTCTCTGATTCTCTGTAATGATTGGCGCTTACCCCTCTCATCTCGGGTTTTTTTTATCTCAGTAATGTTAAAATCAAGGTTCAAAATATGACACGTACCAGCTGATAAGTATCATTCCGAGACCCCTCTGATAAACCCTTACAGTGCGTGTATTGGAAGTCTGACCGCTTCAGGAGATAGAAGAGACCTAAACTAGCCCCCTGAACCGGTTGCAAAAAAAAAAAAACAAAAACACAATAAAAAAGTGTATCAATATGCCCCTACCAGCATATCAGGTGTATCGATAATTTTGAACCTTGGTTAAAATTACATGCATGGTTTGTGGGGTTGGAACATTCTGGCTCGACTGGACTGGGACTAGGATTAGAAACCCCAATTGAAGTAGATTGGGCTGGGACTGGGGTTGGAACATTCTGGCTCAAAAGACCGAAAATTGGTCTTTTTCCGTTTGGTAACCAAAAACTGGAAAGATAAAAAACGTGTGCACAATTAAGAGCCGAAAAGATTGAAAATGCCAAATTTCAGAAGTCTTTCTACATGATAAATAGCCTCTAAAACGCATTTTTAAAAGCCCAATAGAACGAGCCACTTACCAGTCTTTATCTTTAAAGACAAGATCCCAAAAGCTTAATGTCTAATGGATCTGGGCTGTTGGAAGATTTTTTTATAGACTTGCCAAACGACGGGAGAAAGCATGCAAGAGAAATTGAAAAAGTTAAGTTTGCCCACTATAAAAATTTCAGAATGTGTTAAGAGCCTCGCCATTTAATTCAGCACAAGAGAGAGATGAAAAGGATCACAGTCCAATGTTTTGTCAACATGTGAATTATCAGGTTTAGTTTGTAAACAAAGATTTAAAAGGGCTTTTATCCAATGTTGTTCGTTGGATACAAACCTAACCTTGGTATTTTCTTGAACAAAGTGGCCATGTTCTCATGTTTGTTCAGCGGGCATTTTTACCATCGGACTACGCAATGGTTCCTTCCTTTTATACATAGGGTGATAAATGAAGCAATATATACATAAAAACAAATAAAAAGGGGGAAATTGTGTTGCTTCTTGTTGTAACTTTGTATATAAATTTACTTACACAGCGGGGTAGCTGAGGTGATTATTTGATTCCACCCTCAGGACCGCTCTCCGTAAGCTCCACTCATGACAACATTCGAGTGCAAGACGAAGTGCAGTTCCAAGTCCTAGGACAACAAGCACACCTGCACAGGTTCATCCCTCCAAATCAGGACAAGAGGCAAGTTAGTGAGAGGTGTTAGGTTGGTGCACTAGGATTCAATTGTGCAAGCATGTAATAGGCCAGTGGGATTTGCCATTGAGGACAGATTTCAAGTCCAAGTCTGTGGCATCAAGTTGGATAGTTGTCAAACTAAGCAAACTAAGCCTCTAAATAATATGTGAAGGATGGAGAGATTACCTATAATAATGTTCACAGGAAGTGCAGAGACACCAAGTGAAATGGATATCAGCACATCCAATAAAAGCCCACCAATTAGGATTGAGAATGCCACCCAAAGCGGACTGAACCACTATAAAGTATACCCAAAAGAAACAGGCAAATATTGATTAGGAAACTGTAAGGAAATTGGCAATAAACAAGAAATAGTGAATATTTTGATGATGTGTACGACAGTCATGATAAAATACAGTAACTTCACCGCAAAACTGCATACCCTTTCACGTTCTTGTGCAATATTAGATCCTCCAAAGGCTGGGTCAACCCTCCAAATCCAATAATTTGTCTGTTTCAAGAAAAATAATGTATACATTGAAGCACGTCAGATGTTAATAACTACTAAATTTTAAAATTTAAATTTAAATTTAAGTTTCTTGGATGGATTGATTCATGTTAATAATTGCAGGTGTTGGTTAGGAATGGATCTCTTTGTTAGGAAAATTTGTAGGGAAAAGCCATGGTGATCCCAAAGATCCCCTATCAATACACATGACACATTTTATGCCAAGTTATCAGAGGTCCACCACTAGATCAATAAATATTTGGAGCTCTGGAAGAAACACCATCTTCAATCTTTTACTCTAAAAGTAATCTGACAATTAAATGCACCTACACTTGACTGGGGCTCTGGGCGTGGCACATTTGCTGCTACTTGCCTGCATAAAAAAGTTCAAGAACCTATTATTACGTTGTTCAAGATTGGGTAAGATTGAAATACATGCCAGTACAGTGGACAACTTACTGGCATATCTCACATTTATTTGAACCTCTAGTGCGAAACCAAGTATCAATACATGATCGATGTGCATTTGCTAGCCCACCTCGACACTGGCATCCAAGATCTATAAGAGGTTCTTCTGTTTGCTGCTGACAAACTCTGTTAATTAACATAAACAAGAAGCATTATACTTCTTGATGGCAGAATAGCAGAGAAGGAAGAGAAAATTACATATGACATTTCTAAGACACTACCATAACAATACAATGGAAACATTTATAAGTATTTCGAACTGTCATTAACAAAGGGTGCAATATGACAAATGTCAATTAATTGACTGAAATTATTTCAAGGAACAATTGAGAACAAATCCCTGCAGACTGCACATTATGACTTGCAAACCACCTAGTCAAACAGATTTATTTCAACTTTGTCAAGCCAAACTATGTGAACAAAACAAACTTTGCAAGTAGATGGGATGAAAAAAATAAAAAATATAATCATCTATTCAGTTTAATATCTTCTCGCATGTTAACGGATTTCTAATTTTGTCCTATGAATGATTCATCAAAACACACAAAGGGGCTGTTTGATAATGACTTTAGTTACTGACCTGAGCAGACTTATTGCTTTACCTTTTAGTGGATAAAATCATTAAATAATCAAATATTCAAAGGTACATTAATCTACCCAAGTTCAGCTTAAGCCATTGAAGAGCCCACAACCTCCTTAAAACTTTATTCACTAAAAGACAAAGCAATGAACTTTTCAGTTTAGCCACTTGAGCTATTATCAAACAGCCACTAAGCAGCTACTTGAAAAGAAACACACCATAATGGCATAATGGTATAATATACTTTGTTATCTATAACTGCCACAGTGCCACCACAGCTAGTGAAGTCTTTAGTCTCAAGTATATAACACAAACAAATGAAAAACTAAAGTGAAGCAAAGTCCTCAAACATCAACCAAGTAAATGGATTACTGACTTTCAAAATCACATGACTTAAATCTACCGAGTTTGAGGCATAGTATGTGCTAAATATGATATTATAAGAACAACGGAATACCTGCATTGCTCGTGCGAACTTTCGTTTCTTGACAAGCAACCTTTCTTAGGAGTAACCATATCAGTAATTTCATCCCTGTTGGTGCCCCTGGTCACTGTAACACTCCCCTTAAGCTCTGAAGTCACTGACACTTGAGACTGTGACTCCCCCTTCGAGATCACAAGGGCGAGCACCGTCCCAGTGCCTTCTTGGGCAGATTGCCGTAACGAACACTGGGTTCCATTTTCCTCCTCCCGAGGCTCACTCTCCATGTTCCCTTGTTTCTCGAGGTCATATTGATCAACACTATGACCGCCCACTGCGATGCCATCTCTATCGGATCCATCATTCTGCATTTGGTTATATACCGTATTGCCACTATCTCTTTAGTTAGTTCTCCAAGTCACCAAGACCGTGACTGTAAATTGAAAAAATAAAATAAAATTTCCAGATTCAGGAATTCCCAAACCCTAGAAACAGAACTTTTCTACATTCATAAAAAACAGCAATAAATAAGACCGAATTATGGTTCAATCAAATCGAACTAACACTTATTCTTGATTTGAAACAGACAATCTACAAAGAAATTGTAGAAAAAACCAGCAACTAGTAGCCAATCAAGTACGCAAAGGATTTCAGTAACTATCAAAGCATGAACTAGAAAAACCACAACATCTACTGAAACGAAATCCAAGTCCACAATCCGTGCCCCTCCAAAATAATCAAGACATAGGGCAGAACAATAGTGGAAAGTAGTAAAATTTATATCCAATTGCTACCGACCTGAAATACTAGAAAGCAGAGAAAGACAAGGGTCATAGAAAACAAGAATTAAAGCACCAGAAAATAAAAGAAAAAGTTGGAAAAATCTTAAGAACAGAGTGAAGGTCGCACCTGGAAACGATGGGCTCTCAGGATAAGAAATCGTGGCGGGAGAAACTCGATCGGTAAAAAGAACAGTCTAGGACCTGTAGTCTCTTGTTTTGCCGGGAATAGAAGAAATAAGTCCGGGAATTGTAAGTGTAACGCGCACCGTCTAGAATTGTAAATGTTTAGAGCAATGCTAGCGTCACTGATTCCGTGGCCACACAACCAATTAAATCACAAACCCCAAACCACAAAATACTAATAAATTAAATACAATACCCCTCAGACGTGACACGTGCCCCTCGAAACACCAGATAGAGGGTGTAGGTTACACCGGATATGTGTCTCGTTTGGTTTGTGGGTAGTTTTTTTTTTTTCACGCCTTGTGGGTAGGGTTGTTGTGGGTAAGAGAGATCCCAATAGCAGTGGTTGGTAGTCCAGTGAGCCCAGATTTTTTACCCACATAACATCACAGTCACACATAAGGAACATCTCCCTTTTACATGCCGCGTTTGTGGGTAGGAACATCTTCTTTTATATGTAGTGTCTTAAGGGTAGGCATAGATAGTTGTGGGTAAGAGATCCGACAGATGTTATAGTTAGGGGTGTAAATGGATTAAATTCGAATTGAATTAGGTAATATCTAAATTTAAATCCGATTAGAAAATTCGATATCTGAATTTGATTCAATATCCAATGGATATTGAAAATTAATATTCAAAATTGAATCTGATTAAGTATTCGAATATTTGATTTGATTTGAATTCGACCAGTTAACTATTTTAGATAATTAATAAATATATAAAATAAATACTTTATTTATATAAAACATTTAAATATTATATATAATTATATATAAGAATTAAAATAATCAGCCGAAGATGTTATTGCTTCACAAGTGTATATTAAGAACACCTCCCACACATAATGTTATCATTTATGGGAAGATATTCCTAATGCATGGCTGGGATGCACTGTGAGGATGGTGTGAGGAACAGATCTGAACTAGTTGTGACTACTTACTGCTGTTGGCGTTTTAGATTTAAGCATTGTCCAGCATTTTCATTGGCTATGTTTGGAGCCATGCCGTTTTTCTGGATCATGCTTGATGTTTGATTAAACATTTTTTGGAAAAGCAATTTTTCATACCACACCTTAAAAAAAAATAAAAAACTCAGGAAACCGCATTGGTTTCAAACATAAGTTGCGTTTGTTCATTTAATAGAAGGGGAGAAAAAGGTAATTTGCCACTTTGCATTGTTGGGCTATAAATGGGCCGAGCTAGAGGTATAACTAGTCAGATAGCTTTTTTTTTGTTAATGTCAGATATTCTGAGAAGTGAGAAGGGAGCGGGGCTGAACCACTAAGCTAGTTCCAAGTTTCTACAAGGTAGAAATGTCATGTATGGCTGTTGGGTTCCTGGCCTGGCATAGTCCGCACTCCAGGCCTGATATTTCCGGGCTAAGTTCTGGGTTGGGCACCTAGGACTAGGAGTAGGTATGCACCCTGCGCCCATATAAATCAATAAAATTACATTTAAAAAATAGAAAAATTTATGATGTGGAAAAGATATAGTATAGAGAGAGTTTTGACCAATCAAAATTCACCCATGAATTTTGATAAATAACACTTAATTGGCTACTTTATGAATTTTTAAATGGGTGATGAAGGAAATTCTTCGTTATAGTTAAAAAATAGAAAAAAATAATAATAATTCTGTAACTAATTCCCAAATGAAATCAGAAGATTAAAAAGAATATCTGATTAATCTGATTTATGATAAAAGGAGAAACCATTGTTTCAAAATTTAATTTATCACAAGTACGACAAATAGTGGTTTAAGCCTTGTCAGCCTTGAGCGGCAGGCCATTCAACCTGCAATATTACTAGTTAACTACTGAAAACGATAACTAAACTAATTTGACATCCGCATCTCTCATTCTCGCGCCAGCAAAACAGCTAAGTCCATCGGTATTATTACAATTTGATACCGACTCAGCACATTATTGGATGCTTCCTACCTTGATATGGATTGGAATTTCCTATACTCCGACTCCCTGGATTTATTTAACCCATTTCAGGCATGCAAATATGCAATGCAACGACGAACGTTGCACCCTCTCAAGTCTCAAGTCTTAGTCTGAACTGAAAGTTGTTCCAAGTGAGAATGGCTGAATTCTCTATACAGGAATCAAAATCAGAATGGAACTGTTTGGTTAGAGTCGTTAGACAGAATCAGAATCTCACTCTCATTCTTACTGGAATGGTATTCTTCCATTTGAATGAAATCCCATTCCAGTTTATTCCAATTTCGACTCCGATTTTTGTCTGAATCAAATGATAATAAACCATTCCGATTTCAATTCTGATTCATTTGCAATGTCAAGACTCTTTGTTGACCACTGGCTTTTACCTCGGCCCTCCTCCCCAGCGTACATATTTTTATATATTCTTCTACAGTTTCAAACTGAAACTACCCTACTGTGCAATCTTGTTTGGCCGTGGCACGTAATTCGCTTCTTAACACCAGACAAAAGTAGAAGATTTCTCAACCTTTACATATTTTTCTTTTTTCCTTCATGCTCTTTGTTAACGTCTTTACAAAGGAAGAAATAAAAAAAGAAGGGTCACCGTCATTCACCCAGCGGAAAATTAGCAGATTGGGTGAAAGCAAGGCATCCTTGTTGGTGAGAAAACCACGGTGAGCCGTGCATGATCCGACAAGGAGTAGTTCTCGGGCCACATTCCTTTCTCTACTTCAGGAGGGAAAAGAACCGCATTCTTCACATTGAAACCAAAGGTTTGCTCTCCTGTTCCCTTCAAAACATTCTCTCTTGCCTCGTACAGATTTTCCTGTGTCTGCTCCGACCAACATGGATCCCAAATTCGCTGCTGCAATGCAATTCCATTATCAATTCATATATCAACACTTTTGAAATAATATTTGTACAAAAAGACTTCCTATTCAGTGACTGTTATGATCAACAGCTTGCAATGCACCATGTTATATGGCTTTCCAGTTTCCACATGCAAGTTCAGGGTCTACCAATACACATAATATGAACCAATGATAGAACACAGCCAACCCAGAAAATGCTTTGCCAACATTAAAAAAAAACCAGACTTCAGGACTACTGGTGATGGAACATGCTAGAACATTTGACACTTGCTACCAGCCATATCAGGCCAAGAACTTGGTACTGAGATTTCCATTTTGAGTAGGATTGGACTGAAAACCATTTTGTTACCAGCCAATCTTGAGACTCGAGTGACCAGCCACTCTTGGGACCTGGCATGGCACTCTTATAATGCTCTGATCTTAGGTCAACAAAAGATTGTTGGCATTTAGGCTTTAGCACTCCCAGATAATGTGCCCTAAGCAAAAGGACAATATGGTCCCAACAATTTTACTTTTGAGGTCTTCTTTATTTACCATATTTTAATATATCTAATTTTTCTTGATATTTATTTACAGCTGTGTTTCTATGCCTTTGATCATGCCAGACATCTGTTGCCATCCGAATACTTGGCAGATCACCAAGGTAACACTGTAGAAAAGGCATCTTTCAATTTTAAACTTCAACAAAGTCTTGGAACAAAAAAAAAAAAAATTACCTGAAATTCTTCATAATCAACAACACCATTTCCATCTATATCTGCCTGGATCCACAGGTCCTTTGTTTCTTGCACACTCAGTCCATGGGAATAGCCAGTTAAACCTAGCTGTTACAACTACGCATTAGTTAGTAAGTCTATATCTTCTTGGTAAAATTTGAGTCTGTTAATCTGGCTTCAATGGATATACCATACCTGTTGTAGTGTGTCATAAAAGCCTGGGTACGTAATATAATCACCCTTATTATCAGCCTTTAAAAAGGCAAATGCATCATTCTCTGTAAGAGAAGCTTTACAAAGTTGATACTGAAACCACAATATAGGAGGAATAAAAAAAAGAAAATCAATACAACGTTCATGAAAGCATGGTAGTAACGCCGGAATGCTTCAAATACTGTTGGTAAAACCAATAAAGGGATGGGCTTAAAGTAATGGAGGATATAAAACAGTATATATGCAAGAAATTTAAATGGAGAATATAAAACAGTATATATGTAAGTATGTACAAAGGTAAGATTATAGCTCTCTGCCTCTATATACTTGTATTTAATTGTTTGAAAAAGCAACCACCTCTGAACATTTATTCATTTTTTTATTTTGGTTGATTGGGGGATTATACCTTTTAAAGAGTTGTTTTTTTATGAGATCCATGAACCTCTAAATTCATAGGGTATCAATACTGAGCAATAACATGCGTTTTAAAAAGTGGGAAACATGACCAAAAGCAAAAAGGGACTTCTAGAGCTTGGGGCACAAAGTCCAAGGTGAGGCTACACCTAAACAAAGTGAGGCACCACTTTTGAAAAATAAAAAATAAACAAAATACAAAAAGAGGGGTACACAAGAGGGTGAACAAGGAGAAAAAGAAAGAAAAACAGGGATCAGACCCCTGAGAATTACACGGGGAATCTTATCACAGTACATTCTAAAATAAATGAAATATTTCAAAAATCATTCTAGAGAAGGATGGGCAAAATGGAGTGTATCCGAAGTCTTATGTGATAGGCGAGAATAGATCTTTGGATAAAAAAGAAAATTCTATAAAACAATTGTAAGGCCATCTATATTGTATGGAGCATAGTGTTGAGCAGTTAAGAAACTACATGCCCAAAAAACGAGTGTGGAAAAAATGCAAATGCTTAGATGGATGAGTAGTAAAACCAGAAAGGATGGGGTTAGGAATGAAGTCATACAAGAACCTGGGAGTAGCTCTTGTAGGTGATAAAATGAGAAAGTAGATTGAGATGGTTTGGTCAGGTACATAGAAGACCATCTAGAGCACCTGTAATAAAAAAGTGATCTGCTACAAGTTGAAGTTGCTAGAGGAGCTAGGGGCAGACTGTAAAGGACTTGGATGGAAGTAATAAGAAATTATTTAAGCGCCCATAATTTAACAATGGATGTGACAGTGAACAGAATGGAATGGCGAAACAGAATTTATGCAGACAACCCCGTATACTTGGGACAAGGCTTAGATTAGGATGGTGATGATTATAGCCTTGTAGGTTGAAATCCTACATAGACTAAATTTTTTAAACTCTAAACATCACAACTCCAACCTATGATACATTATATTACCTATTCAAGCATCGATTTTAAGACTAGTTTATTTTTTTTATCAATAATTTTAAGACTAGTTTATCAAAACACAATAGCAAGCAAGGTGAGATACTCCTAGGTTCAGGTGAGGCATCCCACAAAATGAGACTTGCCTTTGAACTAGTTACTAGGCAGACCTAAAAGGCTAAAAGACTAGCAACGACCTTGCTCAATATGGTGCTCATAGGGAATTCATCTGTATATTGACTACTGTGTGGATTATTGAAATAGTTTGTATGCTCAATATCACTTGAATCGTCTCTATGCACTTATGCTTTTTCCATAAAATTTCTCTGGTTTGGCAATGCTTGGTGTATATCGACAGATAAGGAAGACAATCATCACTTGAACACAGTAATAAGCTTGACAACAAAATGCATAAACTGCATTTTATGTACCTTATTCTCTTCCCCCCCCCCCTAGAGTTGCAAATCCTTGATTTTTGGATCCTCAGATTTTACAACAAAGATAGACATGTGGAAAAAGGTATGGTAGCTAATAAAAAAACAATTGTTAGGGGGTCACATAAGACATGTGGAAGGGGCAGAAGAGGAAGGAGAGGAAGAGGTTAAATGTTTTTTGTAGTTTTTCTTAGTTTTGGCCTTTCTATCCTAGCTCAGGTGTAGACCTGTTCACGGGCCAGGCCTTGGCCCAACTTTACACTGTCTCAGGCTCGGGCTTCGAGCCGGGCCCATTAGAATTTTGACAAAAGCCAAGCCCGAGCCCGGCCCATGAACAGGTCTACTCAGATGGGGTGGTTTGTTGTTTTGTAGTGCTTTGCCTTGAGGTTTTGGTCCCGTTGGGTTGGTTTTGGCCTTTTTAGGCTTGGGCATTTTGTTGGTCTTCCCATCTTCTATGCAAGGCCTGTATCGATTTTGGCCTCTTTCCTTTTGTATACTTCTTGTATGCTGCTTTTCTTCTAAATTCTAATAAATTATACCTTACCTATTTCAAAAATAAATAAAAACCAATTGTTTGCATTTTGATATGTTTCTATGTGTCTATTAATGCACTCATATGCACATGGAACTATGGGCTCATGAACCTGGTCTTCTTATCAAGTCCCACAAACATAACCAAAAACAAAAATCAATCTTTTTCATAAAAATATGTTTCAAGAAACAGCAATTTTCAGGTTTTTTTCTTGATATAGAAAAGTTCAGTATTAGTCATCAAATATATTACATGCCAGTTTTAAATGGTTACAATATTAATAAGCATTCAAGAAACACGGAGATAGTGAATACATGATAAGAATATGCATATAACCAAAATAAATTGCTTACCTTGATGATGCCAAGCACTGCTTCACTCCAACTTGTCTTTAATGGTTTTCGATGTGTATTAGGATTAAGAAGCCATATAAAATCTACACCACAGATGTTCCCTCGATGATTGCGGTGGCTAACCCACTGCAGCAAAAAATAGAGACATGAGCATGCATAATTAATATCCAGTGGCACAATATGTCTGTAAAGTTCTGCAGTAACATCTTCAATGCAAAGCCAAAAATAATGACCTTATGCGCATCTGCATCACTGTCTGTATACTGATGAGCAGTATCATATGATGATACAAAGCCCTGGGACCTAAGGAACTTGTAGACATGCCCTCGCTTGCTTCCATTCCAGTCACTGCAAAAATTAATAAGCAAAAACAGGAGAGAATAAGAAAACCAGTGTTGCAAGATATGCCTTAGAGATGTCAAGTGGGAGGTAGTTGAACACTCACCCACACAATATGATGGGCATGGAGATAAGGTTGTTTTCTTTCTGATATGATTCCACATATTGCAGAATTTTGTAGACCTATTCCAAGAGCATGCAGCATACTGATCTAAGAAACAGTTGATGGTATAGAGAGTACGAAAGAGAATTGAGCACCAAGAAAATTATGTAAATGTGAAATACCTGATTCAGTCGTGCAATAGACAGGCTAGAATCATGAGGAAATAGCAAATGGGTATTCACAATTAGAATTTCTTGCTGAATATCGCTGTTCCAACTTTGTGAAAAGGGAATAACAGATTTAACATGTAACAACTGAGCAACACGATCTCCAAAGTCATTAAAGAGCAATTCTCGATAGTTTAGAACCCTAAAGTAGTCCATATGTACAGCAGTTAGTAGACCTACATAAAACAGATAAAGAACAATTAATAATACTCACAAGAGGTTGACTAAGTACTAAAGCCAACTTTATATATCCATAGAATGGACAAATTCTTTTCCAACTGAAATATTTTAGCTAACGTTTCTACCCCTGTTACAGAAAAAAAACTTTGTTTCCACTCTTACTTAGTTTTGATAAATTTGTCAAGGAAAACATAATTTTCATTGTAAAGGGGCAAAAATATAACTCAGATAGCCTAGAAAAAAAATTCCATCCATTTTACATTGAAGCAAGTGGAGCCTAAATGGTAATAGAATCCTCTTCAGTTAATTTTTCAAATTAAATCAACATATTACCAGCCTACAAGTCATGGTAGACCTCCTAAAACTATAGTAAATCTCTAATCTCTCTATGAGTTTAATTGGTACATACACGTGCAATGCCGCCACCACTGCTTTCTTTCCTGAAAGAAAAGACCAAGTGACTTGAGCCTGAAATAAGCTCACAAACCATTGAAAATTTCTGTCATGGAAAACAGTTGAATGTTTCTTCCCTCGTCATCAATGGAATACAGATAACCAATTGAGCAAGAAACTACCAACTAGGAACATGGGAAGACTACTTCAATTGGGATTGCACTTCTAATAGATTTCTCAAGGATAGTGAAATTGGTCTGAAACAATTGAAATACATACCCCCCCAACACACACACACCCACGGCAAAGCGCAAGACCTTTCCAAATTTCAGTGCAATAAGTAAAACAAGTTTTAATTGACTAAAAGGAAAAGGTGCTATATCTAAAACAAATCCTCAAAATTCTATTCTGGAAAAAAATCAAATTCAAAAATGGAATGGAAAGATGAACAGAAATAGAACTGATGGAAAAGGCATAAAAATTAAAAAGATGATCCAAGTATCTATAAAAAGAGAAGGAAATAGAAAGCGCAAGGGGTAATGGCATACCATCTCCGCGATTGTTTGTCCGAGCAAGCTTAAAATTGATATAACCAGCATCACCAAGACTCTTCTCATACATATTGACGAGTTCTTCGTTTCCAACCCAGAACTCCTACGGTGCAGACCAAATCCCAGAACCAAAAGTTGAGCATATTTCACGAAAAAGAGTTGAAATAACAGGAAAAAAAATAAAAAACTAAAAGGACACGCGAACCCAGTTGCTAACCTGAAGACAGATAATGGAAGATCTCTCGTACAACAACCAATCCAATATACTCTGGTTTCTGCTAAGCCAGTATGCCCGGTACTCGCTTTCACGACTGCTCTGATTCTGTGGGTTTTTTTTTTCAAAAAATAATATTAAAATCGAGTCAAAAGTCACAAATTGTGAAGAAATTATAGACTTCTATCTGTTCCTATTCTACAGCTTTCCTTTAAATAAGATATAGAAATTTTAGTGTACCTCCTTGTCGAGTCTTTTGTAGATAGGAGCCAGGATATTGAAAGTGGTGCAGGAGATGCAGGGTTCAGTCATGGACGCATAGCTACCGGTTCTTGAAATCCTTCCATTAAGTTTACTGTCGTGTCCAGTCGAACTCTTCACAAAATTTGAACCAAGTACCTGATTTTTTTAACCACAAAAAAAAGGGTAAGAAGAGCGAACGAACGTCAGAAAGAGGGAGAAGGAAAAATCCTCCATTGTTCTGAAATCCAAAAAAATGAAGTAAAGAGATAAGTACGAAGATGAAGAAAAAAAAAATCAGAGGGGTTGCAAATAGGAATTGGAAAAAATAAGTAACGAACAAAGAAGTAAACATCACGATTCGGGGTACAGATGAGAAAACGAACGAGGAAGGGCAAGAAGCTCTGGAGATGAAGTCATTAATAAATGAAGAGAACAATGGGCATTCATGAAAACCTGAGGAAATGAGTAAAATGTTGTAGATTCTGGTAGACAAGACGAAGCAGAAGAAGAGGAATAAAGGTGAAGAATGATGGTAATGAGCGAGAAGGAAGGGGAATCATTTACCATCTCAGTGCTTTTGTTATTGCCGTTGTTGCGGTTGCCGTTGTAGTTATTGATGGGAACGCAAGAGAAGGAAGAAAGGATTCAGATTTCAGAGGGGAGAAATTGCAAATTGATGGGCTCTGGAAGTTTGAGATTTTTCGGATATATATACGCAATAAGAAAGGGGGATTAAAATTTAAAAGCGAGTTATTATTGATGAAAAGAGGGACGGGCATTTAACTAAACAGCCAATGGTTTAGTTTTTGCTGCTGTTGTTTCTGAGACTGTATCTGTTCAAGAGATTTTGATATTTGAGAAGGAAAGAGAGAGAGAGAGAGAGAGGCGTTTGCGCTGTTTGTTTATTGGTGCTTTGTTAATTTATTGAAACGACGGTGACGACGGCGACGATAAATGAGGGGGAATGGAAAGTGTGGGGTAGCGTGTGCTACGTCAAGGTTTACGCCGTCTCTTGCCTGTTTCCCAAGGAGTTCTCTTTTGCTACGGCATGGCCTTAGCGTAGGGCTAAAACCAAAAATCATGGCCTTCGATTGTTATTTTCGATGTATTGCTGTGGCTCCACTACAACGTCACCGGGCCCCTAGCAACTATATTTATTTTTGGGTAAATTTTATATTAGTATATTGTATTTTGGGTTAATTTCAATTTAGTATTTGAATTTTTAAAAATTATTAATTTATTACCTATGGTTAAGGGTTGCAACGAGTTGAGTTTTTTAAGAGTTGTTCCAGTTCAGTTCGGTTCGGTTTCAATTGAGATCGAGTTTGAGTTTAAGCCTAATTCACTGGCTTGATTATGAAATAAGCCGAGCTCGAGCCTATTAAAGCTCGGTTCATGAGGCTCGCGAGTCAGATATATATATATATATATATATATATATATATATATATATATAT